GCCGTCTTGGGGCCCTCTCGGGACCGCCTTGGGAGCCTTTTGGGCCGTTCCAGGGCCCTCTTGGAGGCCTCTGGAGCGATCTTGGGGCGACCTTTGGCGGCTCTTGGGCCGTCTTGGGCCGTCGGAAGACCGAACAGAAGCAAATGCCAGAGTCCTTCAAAAACCTTTGGATAATCAATGAGTTTGACCTCTTTGGGCCTTCCTGGAGACCCCTTGGACGCCTCTGGGGCCGTCTTGGGCATCTCTTGAGGGCCTCATGGGCCGTCTTGGGCCATCTTCAAGCCGTTTTGGGCCATCTTGATGGCCTCCTGGCCCGTCGGACGCCGTCGGAAGCCATCTTGAGGGCCTCTCTGGGCCGACTTGGGGCCCTCTTGGGAGGCTCCAGGGCCGTTTTGGAGGCCATCTTGGGCGTCTTGGAGGCCTCTTGGGCCGTCTTGGGGCCCTCTCGGGACCGTCTTGGGAGCCCGTGGGGCCCTCTTGGAGGCCTCTGAAGCGACCTTTGCGGGCTCTTGGGCCGTCTCGGGCCGTTGGAAGACCGAACAGAAGCAAACGCATTTTTTTTTTTTTTTTTTGCAAAAACCGATCGGAAAGCAATGATTTGAACCTCTTGGACCCTTCATGGAGGACCTCTTGGAAGCCTCTTGGGCCGTCTTGGAAACCTCTTGGGGGCCTCTTGGGCTGTCTGAGGCCATCTTGGAGCCATCTTGGACTGTCTTGGTGACCTCCTGGCCCGTCTGGCGCCCTCGGGAGCCGTCTTGAAGGCCTCTATGGGCTGACTGGGGGCCCTCTTGGGGTGCTCCAGGCCGCGTTGGAGGCCATCTTGGGCGTTTTGGAGACCTCGTGGGCTGTCTCGGGGCCCTCTAGGGGCAGTCTTGGGGACCTCTTGGCCCGATCTGGAGAGGGCTCTTGGGGCGATATTTGGGGGCTCTTGGGCCGTCTCGGGCCGTCGGAAGATAGAAAAGAAGCAACTGCCAAAATCCTTCAAAGACCAATCGAAAATCAACGGTTTTGGCCTCTTCTAGCCTTCCTGGAAGACCTCTTGGAGGCCTCTTCGGCCGTCTTGGAGGCCTCTTGGGGGACTCTTGGGCCGTCTTGGGCCATCTTGAGGCTGTCTTAGGCTGCTTGGATGCATCTTGGGCCGTCTTGGAGGCATCACGGGGCCGTCGTATCCGTCTTGGAGAGGCCTTCTTGGCCATCTTGGAGGCATCTTGGAGGCCATCTTGGGCCATCTTGGCGGTCTTGACAGCCATCTTGAGCTGTCTTGGACATTTTTCCCTACCTAGGCTCTGCCTAGAAGGGTTCTTACTCTCTAGCTTAAAGGGGCCGGGCAGTGGAAAGCGCCCCGGGCGGTTCCCCCAGTCCCCGCCCCGCGGTTCCCCCCAGTCCCCTGGGAGCTTTAGCTTTAGCTTTAGCTTAGCTTTAGCTTAGCTTTAGCTTAGCTGTAGCTTAACTTTAGCTTAGCGTTTCGCTTAGCTTTTCGCTTAGCGTTTAGCTTAGCTTTAGCTTAGCTTTAGCTTAGCTTTAGCTTAGCTTTAGTTTAGCTTTAGCTTAGCTTTAGCTTTGCTTTAGCTTAGCTTTAGCTTAGCTTTAGCTTAGCTTTAGCTTAGCTTTAGCTTAGCTGTATCTTAGCTGTAGCTTAGCTGTTGCTCAGCTTTAGCTTAGCTTTAGCTTAGCTTTAGCTTAGCTTTAGCTTAGCTTTAGTTTAGCTTTAGCTTAGCTTCAACTTAACTTTAGCTTAGCTGTGGCTTAGCTTTAGCTTAGCTTTAGCTTAGCGTTACTGTTACTACTAATGCTGCTTTCCTAGGGGTTCCAACTCCTAGGTAGGGTCGCACTGGGATCGTTTTGTGAGAATTGGGCGCCTAGTGGGTCCTTTCGGGTGGCCCGCGGGACGGGCCGGAGACCCGGGGGAGAGCTCTTTTGGAAAAAGAGCCAAAGCTAAGAGCGATAGGATTCAGTACGCCAGGTGCCCCTGTGGCAAGCCAACAGGAGGCGGCGGATGACGGAAAGCGCGCGTAGCGTCGCGATCCGTTAGTTGGGAGAAATAGCAAGGGGGGTGCTTGGGGGATGGCAAACCCGGGATCACATCCAATGGCCCAGATTTCGGCAATTTTCGACCCAAGAGGGTCCAAGTCAGCCCCAAGGGCGCCGAAGAGGCCGCCAAGACGGCCCATGACAACCCCAAACGCGCCCAAGATGCTTCAATACGGCGTCGGAGAGGTCCAAAGAGGTCCCGAAGACGGCCCGGGAGCGTTCAAAGAGGGCCCCACATGGCTTCAAGACAGCCCAAAAGGCCTCAAGTCGCCCAAAGAGGCCCCCCCAAGGGGACCCCCAAGAGGCAAAAATAGTCCCATTCCTTTTAGAAAACGTGCATTTTTAGGAAATTCGTTTTTTTTGTCTTTACCGCGTCCAAAACGGCCCAGGAGGCCCCCAAGACCGCCCCAAGACCGCCCCAAGACGGCTCCAGGGACGGCCCAAGTGGGCGTCAAGACAGTCCAAGGGAGCACCAAGACGACCCAAGAGAGGCCCCTGAGGGTCCCAAAAGGTTTCCAGGAGAGCCCCAAGAGTGCCACAGTATGTCTCCAAGGGGACCCAGGAGGGCTCCCACAATGCCCCAAGACGAAGACCGCTAAGACGGCCCAAGAGGGTCCCAGGATGGCCCCAAGAGGGCCCCAAGACGGCCCAAGAGGCCTCCAAGACGCCCAAGATGGCCATCAAGACGGCCCTGGAGCATCCCAAGAGGATCCCAAGTCGGCGCAGAGAGGCCTCCAATACGACTTCTGACGGCGTCAAACGGGCCAGAAATGCCCTAAGACGGCCAATGAGGCCCCCGAGAAGCCACCAAAGGCCCCCAAAAGGCCCAGGGAGGCCCTCAAGATGCCCCAAGACGGCCCAAGACCGCTAAGACGGCCCAAGAGGGTCCCAGGACCGCCCAAAAGGGCCCCAAGACGGCCCAAAAGAGCTCCAAAAGGACTCCCAGGAAGGCCCGGAAATGCAATATTTATGTAGATTTTCGCAAGGTTTGTTGCTAGATTTTGCCGTGTCGTGCCTAAGCCTTGACACCAACATGGCTCCAACACACTAAGCCAGCCACCTCGCGCCCTTGCAAAATAGACGCGCTTTCCGTACCCAGTGCCAAGCAGGTAACGGAGAGAGCGAGGCACGAGTGATGACGCGCTGGTGGAGCGAAGCCCTCTGGGGAGGGGCCTCTGGGGAGGGGGCGCGGCGGGGTGGGATGAGTGGCATTGGCCCGCCGTCGCATTGTCTCGAGCGACGCGGCTCCCCGGCGGCCTCCATGGCCCGTGCCCTGTACCCTTTTCTCGTCGAGCGGCGCGGCCCGAGGGCCCCGAGGGGGCCCCGCAACGGCCCGAGAGGGCACCAAAAGACAGCCCCCCAAGAGAGCCTCAGAGGGCTCCCGACAGTCCAAGAGAGCCTCAAGACGGCTCCAGAGGCCTTCCAGAGGGCCCCCGAGAGGACCCCCAGGGGCGAGAAGCGTTTCTCATTCCATGGTTGCTGCAGGTTTTTGGGATTCCGGTCCAGAACGGCCCAAGAGGCTCCAAAGATCGTCCCAAGTCGGCCCAAGAGGCCCCCGGAAGGACCCGAAATGGTCCAAGAGGGCCCCAAGACGGCCTGAGATGGGCCCAAAACGGTCCAAAATAGTTTCAAGACGGCCCAAGAGGGCCCCAAGGCGGCCCCAAGAGAGCCCCAAGAGGGCCCAACCGTAGCCATTTCGGCTCAAGCCTTTCTGGCCCAGGAGCCGCTCGCGGCCAGACGCGACCGATACTGCAAGAGCTGCCCCCGGAATGCCCGGCGGGGCAGCCCGGCGCGGGAGAGACGCCCCGGCGGTGACGAGGCGCAGGGCCGCGGCACCCAGGCTGGTGGTCGAGAGCGGCTTCCTCGAGGTGGTGGACGTGAAGCCCAGCCTCACGAGCGCCCGCAGCGAGGGGGACCTCTTCCAGCACCCGGGCCTCTGCACCGCCGCCCGCGCGGGCGGCACGGCCCCGCTCGCGCCCCGCCGCGCCTCGACCCTCCGCACCCCGAGGACGGCGTCGACGTCGATGCAGGGAAGGCCACCATGCGGTCGGCGGCCTCGCCAGCGAGGACGAGGACATCCAGCGCGGGGTGGAGGGCTGGCCGGAGGCTCCGAGGGGCGCCGCGCACGCACCGGTGAGCGCGCGGGCCGTCAGTGCGATTGGCACCCAGACTGACGAGCACGCGAATGACATCGTTTGTCCGACGTGTGGTTCGGTAGGCGTGCTTCGGGTCCGCGGGCGCTGGCAGTGCACTACGCTGACGTGCCGACCTGCCTGGTATCAGCGGCTGGAGGCCAGGAACTGGCTGGTCCCAACGGGCGCCCACGCCCACGGGCGCCCACGTTGCTCAGACTGCCGCCCCGAGGGCCGTTGCCTCAAGGGGGCTTGCCCTCGGTACTGTAACTTACTCTTCAGAAGGGGCACGTGCAAGTACGGTGCAAAATGTTCCTGGTGCCACCTGCACGTGCGCGCCGACGCCAGTGGGAAGTTCAGAGGCGAGGTCAGCGGTGCAGCGGATATTCCACAACCGCCGTGTCGCTCGCATCTACCACCTCCACGGCCCAAGTTGTCCCTGACATTGGACAAACTGGAGACCCAGGGCTCCAGCGCCACGGTAAGCGGCACGAAGATGGATTACGAGAAGGTCGATTAAGCCGATTCTCTACGCGGGTGTTGCGCACAAGCATGGCACGGTGGTACGCCTGGCTTTCAGTGCGCTTAGTAGCGTTTGTAGCCTCGCCCAGAGTTTGTCCCGACGCCAACTTGCGAGACTACAGGTGATGTCCTGTATGATGAGGCTAGGATCAGAAACTAAGCAAGTTCGGATCCGTGAGGCAAATTGCAGCAGCATGCTTTAGGGCAGTTGGACACCAGAGTTGGACACCAGCGAGCCCGACCGCCCTCCAGGGACCCGGTCTCGGGTGACCCCCGCATCGCTGCATCTGCTTTCGCGTCCGCTGCTCTAGGGCAGTGGCCACAAGGCGCCTCGAGGGTGTCTCCACTCGCAATTCCGACGCCGAGCTCGATTGCATAAGGCCGATTTTCTGAACACGAGCTGCCCGTAACCGTATGCCCCTGCTCATCCCCCCCTGGGGAGAAAAGTCATCTTCATGGTGCTCCTGATCGTGCTCCTCCTCTCCATGCCATTGGGCGCATCTCATGACTTGCATGGTGTTCACAAGTCTTGGGCTTTGCCTCGTGGCGTTTCAAGTCATGCTGGCTTGGATGGCACAGTCAGAGCACACCATCAGTTTCGTTGCGTAGGAGCTCGGACCACTCACGTGCTCGGTGTCATGTCATGGGAGTGAAAGTTCCTCGTGGCTCTCTGATTCTATGCACCTACCACATCAATCCTAAAGATAGCATCACGGCCAAGCGAAAAGTAGTTGGCCAATGTTGCCCGCATACTCGACCCCATTCACTCGACCGTGACTGTCGTAGGCGATTGGAATGTTGTGCTCTAGGTGTGATCAAGTCCATTTCCGCGTATGTTTGTGCATTTTCATCGCATGCCCAGTCTGACATAGGACCTGGTGGCAACCCAAGCCAGTCCAAACTATCGAACCCATGGTCTGACACAGGACCTGTTTGCATCCAATGCACGGTCTGACATAGGACCGGGCTGTAAGGTCTCGCAAATGCCAGTGCAATGCTAGATGTATTCTACCGTATGGGAGCGAGCTTGCTCTATTTGGCAGTTGTGGCAAACGAGCCGCACTTTGCCTTTGAGCTTGCGCAGCACACTTCAGACGTTTACGGTGGATGTTTGGCCAAGGTGAGTCATCTGAGAAGGTATCGCAAATCAAGCTTGACACCGAAAAGGTGCAGTGCAATGCCAGACATTGCATACCTCATGGGAGCGAGCTTGCCTTTTTTGGCAGTTGTGGCAACCGCAGACGAGCCGCACTTTGCCCTTGAGGTTGCGCAGCACACTTTTCTTGGTATACGTCGATTTCAAGCTGCTAATGTAGACGCTTACGGTGGATATTTGGCCCAGGCGAGTGGGCGATTGAGGCCGCAGTCTGCCGCACTGCAGCTGTCGTACCCGTCGGTTGTCAGAACCTAGAGACATGCATGCACAACTTCTCTCTTTCTCTCCCCCCCTCCCCCTGGGTCCATTTTCCTCCCCCTCCTCCTCCTCCTCCTCCTCTTCCTCCGGCGGGCACTTCTCGGATACCTGGCGTTTCCCTCAAGGGTGTCTTTCACAGCCGCTTCGGGCTCCGGCTCTTCTCCGCTCGGGTTGCCCCGCTCAGCAGCGCGGGCTCCATGGGCCGACAGCCGCTGCTGCGTGCGCGACGTAAGCAACCACGCGAGTGCCTAGCCTGAACGTCGCATTGAGCGACGGCTTTCTCCTCGCCAGCCCGCAGAATCTCCTTGCAGATTCGTCGTTCCCTACTGCCACCACCATCTCCTACAAAATTTCCTACCGCTTCTTTTTGCCGACCTGCCTGCCATTTTCCTACCGGGCTGTAAGGTCTCGCAAATGCCAGTGCAATGCCAGATGTATTCTATCGCATGGGAGCGGGCTTGCTCTTATTGGCAGTTGTGGCAAACGAGCCCCACTTTGCCTTTGAGCTTGCGCAGCACACTTTAGACGTTTACGGTGGATGTTCGGCCAAGGTGAGTCATCTGAGAAGGTATCGCAAATCAAGCTTGACACCGAAAAGGTGCAGTGCCAGACATTGTATATCAATTGCCAGAATGGTATACCTTGTACCTCATGTCGGTAGTGAAACGAACATTGCCCATAAGAATGCCAGCGCGAGAAGTAAACATGATAATGATAAAGGACCCTAGCGAGACGAGGAGCAGGCGGATGGGGGAGGGGGGGAGGGGAGGGTGCCAGGAGGAGGAGGAGGACGGATGGGAGACCAGAGGGAGCACGGAGACCCGCCGCTGCGGCGGCAGTAGCTGCCGGCCAGCGGTGGCGGCGGCGGCGGCTGCTCGGTACTCCGCAACCCATCCGCATCGCCGATGGGCCATGCATGGTACCCCAGTCCCACCACCCCACCACGCCAGTTGGGGATAGGCCCTTCGAAACCCGAATGGAACAGCCTACATCCCCATCCAGGGGGTCAAGTCGGCCAGTGAGGCCCGGGCCACGCCAGAGGGGATCAGCGACGGCTGCGGCGGGGAGGTGGCGAAGAAGTACGCCGCCGCCCCCGGACGCATCTCGCGGCTACGGGAAGCGGGCGCCGAGGCCGCGCGCGCCGGCCCCCCCCCCCCCTGTGCGCGCCCGAGCGCCCACCGCCCGAGGCTCGAGGGGGTCGACCACCCAGGATCGGATCGGGCCTCGATCCTCAGTAGTAGTAGTAGTAGTAGTAGTAGTAGTAGTAGTAGTAGTAGTAGTAGCAGTAGCAGCAGCAGCAGTAGTAGTAGTAGTAGTAGTAGTAGTAGTCGTAGTAGTCGTAGTAGTAGTAGTAGTAGTAGTAGTAGTAGTAGTAGTAGTAGTAGTAGTAGTAGTAGTAGT